AAGTTGAATGTAAGCATTTTTGCTGGTGCATAATTCCCAAAGACTGCCCCAACATAGCAGAACGATCCCTTTCAAACAATTGCAGAGTCATTTGAGGCGTATCTAAGATAAATATAACCATGTTAATTTGCTTTTATTTGCTCACATCATCGATTCTACTACACCCGCCAAATTATAGAAAAGCTACCAGCTCAGCCAAAATAAAACCCGCAAAAAACGTGAGAGCAATTCCAAATTGAAAATAAGAAAAAAACAAGTAAAGAAGTATAAGTTCGGGCGAAACCGAACATTATATACCCGGCGCACATACTAAATATCGTTTTTTCACCTTTCAGTAAACTGCATGATTAGCATGACTAATTGAAATTTGGTGGAAATCGGTAAGGCGGTTATCGATATACACTTATGTCATAGAACGTAGACTACAAGAACGGACAACTCGTTATATTTGTAGCGAAAGTGAGTAACAGGGGCGTGCCTTCTCTTTTCATCCAATTAAAAAACGTACTAGAGCAAAAGAGAACGCACGCCCCTGTTGCTCACTTTCGCTACAATTATAACGAGTTGTCCCTTCTTGTTATCTACGTTCTTTGCTAATATCTATCCCGATTCGGTTTAGCTGTTACAAACAACCGTTATGCGAACAAAGTTATAATACCCTTGTGCACAAGTGCGCTCGGGTATAAAAATGATAGCACAGATGTGCATAGATGCGCGCTTACATGAACGCATACACATATGTATGAGCTTACGAAAATCAATGCAATGTCCTTTCACATGCTTACTGTGGCGATTATAAACACATTTGTGTGCTTCTCCATTCCTTAAGCGAAAACGAAGTGGCTAAACTTTCCACCGCATACACATAAGCTTTTGTTAATTAAATTTGATCATTAGGGATTTGGAAGATATGTGACTAAATGATAAAGTGTTCATACATATACAAACCCAAAGAATGTTGCTATCGCACGCGCCAACTTTGGGAAGACAGTAAGAAAAAGCTTGAGAATTACGTATGCATACATGAATGTATGTATACTAGCGTTGTTGCGAATGTTCGCATTGGCAACCGCGTAGCTTCTGCATTAATTTTAACATTCGCATTCGTAATAATCAATGCAGAGCGTTTGCAAATGCCAATGTTTTACAAGTGCACTCATAAAACACAATAGGGCTATTCGCGATTCGGTGCATAAGAGCTGACAAATTGATGCAATAGCAGAAATATGCCATGGATTGTGAGCGACCTTTATTAAACTGTCATGGTAAAACTATTTTAATCAGCTAATAGAAATGTCAACCAGAGTTGCAATGCATAGCATTTTTATGCTATGGATTTTCGGTATTGCAAATTTGTCAAGCCATGACAAATGCAAATGCGTATATTTTGTTTGTAGGGGTATTCTCTGAGTCTTGCAAAGCCCTTGCACGGTGCACGGATTGCACGGATTGCACGGTTTGCAAAGCTGCCCCATACGAAAACCGGTTTTTACCGTGCAATCCGTGCAATCTGTGCACCATGCAAGGGCTTTGCAAGACTCAGAGAATACCCCTTGTGTATTGCAAATAATTTGCAATACAAATTTGCAATGCAATGATGCTAGGCCATTTGCACCGGATCGCGAATAGCCCTAATTCGTAGCTCTGAGACCCACTTTATCATCCGTGATTCTAATAATTAAAATTATTATAAAAAACCGCTGTGGCTGAGGTACGAAATTACCACTCCATAGCGTTTGGATTCGATCCCTGGTCCGGGCAACATCTAAACTAGAAAAATTCTTTTTTTTTAGCAGCGGTCAGCGCTCGGAAGGCGATGGCAAACCCAGAGTAAATTTCTGCCATAAAAAAGCTTCTCATAAAATCAATTTGCCATTCGGAGGCGGCGTAAAACTGTAGATCGGTCAATTTGTATAACAACAACAACAACAAGGCGCATAACAAAAAATGTGGGAAAAGCTCGGCAAAATAAACCAGTCATAGAAAAAACGATTAATAATAAACTACAAAAATTAAATTCGAAAAACACTCACGACGATACAGATTCTCCAAATTCTGAAACAGCGAAAAGAATGAAAGTGGAGGAATGCTTTGCAAAAAGCTTTAGAAAAACCTGAAATATCTGGTTCGGCTAGTAAGTGGTGTTTAAAGAACGGTCATGCCATGATGCTAGATTCCTCAAATGAAGATGAAAGTCAAGAGGATACATCCGACATTAAAAGCCCGATGGTAATCTGAACAAGGAATTATTCTTGTACCGTAATAAAAAAGAATAAATATAACTGAGGCTCGTCTCACCTGGTGGAGCGTCAATCGAAACGAATTTTAAATATTTACCTTGTTTATACCTACGAAGAAACCGCATTAACGAAAAACCGATTTGATTCAACACATATTTCTTTCTAGCATTTATTCCTCAGTCTTTATAGTGCACTTTATTTAATAATAGATTTACGGATTTACCGATGTGAGAAATAAAAAACCGATTTGAAAACAAATTTGAGTCAATACACTTTTCGATTTCAACGCGCATTGAACTTTTGTTTATGCATCTGATTTGAACCATACCGAACTGAGTCACAGCGCTTTATGTGTCGGTATAAACAAGGTAATTGTCAAGTTTCTAACGCAGATGTTTTCCACCTTCACCAGCTGTCCCGAACGAGCTGTTATTTAGTGGTGCAGGTTTGATTTACAACCCGACCCTTTAAGAAACAGGCTGGAACCTTAAAAGGCAGGAACATCACTTTTTATTAAGTACAATGCTCTAAGTTTTAAGTTCAAGTACTAAATTAAATAAACATTATTAAGAATTGTTAACTTTTCATTTACCTAACTTACCTTTCTAAATTATTTCTTTCACATACTTGACATTTACATCCGCATCCGCGGATGTCTAAAATTCCACATTCTCAACATCCCTAGTGCATACCCTGATGGAAAAAATTCGTCAGTTTCAAAAATCAAGCTACATATCGCTCATTTACTACAATAGGGTCATAACCCAAAAAAAGCAAAACTCGAGAAAAACGGCTTTAATGTTTTGAATTTACATAGTATACATGTACACATATATATTCCCATAGTAAACATGAATACATATTTTGTTCTAGTGAGATACTGGTAATCGATTGAGTTTAAATTACAAGTAAACTAATTGAAAACAAAAGCATTGTGGTGCAATTGACTGTTTCCTATGGCATCGCAATGTTTACCGAGTAAACAATTTATGCGAAGTATCATAAGTTTTTCAAATCGCGTTCTTGCATACCAACAAATTTGCAAGCAAGGAGAACTTGAGAGCGCAAAGTGTAAGTTCTCTTGAAGTGGAAGTTACAAATTCTTGCAGGAAAAAACATTAGGGGTATTCTCTGAGTCTTGCAAAGCCTTTACACGGTGCACAGATTGCACGGGTTATACCCCTATTGTCAGCACAAATTTGCGGGCAGGATTGTGGCACATGATTGCATTTTTGTCGATGATAATTTGAATAAAAAAATTTGTGAAATTCTAAAATATAACGATAAACGATAAAAGTTGGTAAATATTTATTTACTTAATTAATTTAGTTAATTTTAATGATTTGAAAGGCACTCGGGTGAAAAAAAAACTATTCGTAATCGGGATGTAGCCACAGCCATAGTCGATATAGGAAACACGAAAGTTAATACGAGAAATAAAAAAAATCGAACGCACGTTTAAGAATGTCAGAATGAGAAGAAATACACATGTATGTAGATCCTGGTTGTAGTTCATTCGAAAAATTTTTAAAAAATCTATAAAAATTTATTATGTTTGAAATGCAACCGTGAACACCAGCTGGCAGTGAAACTTGCAAATTCCTGCAAATTTGAGTTCGTGCAAAAATTTGCAAAATTTTCTACTAGAGAGACAATTGGAGAAAATGTTTTCTTACTTTCTCATATTTTGAGTGATGTAGTATAATTCTTACGGGACTTTTCGATGAATGAACTTATTGAAATAAGTGAAATTTGCAAACTACTTACTTTTAAATTAATTCCATTTCCGGCAGGGTACATTGTCATGTATGAGTGTACGTATGTATGTTTTTTTGTTTATATAAAAAAGGGCAGCACGTATGGGCAGATTATTTGACAGGAAGTAGTTGCAGAAGATGGCTAACAACTTGGCAATGTGGCTGATTGTAAATTTGAGTACGTAGAGAAGGGTCCTGCCCTGCATGACAAACTGGTTGGGGCTACAAATTTTCATATGTCATTAGATTCGCAACAGTTGACAAACAGTTTAACGCTTCAGCACGTTTGCAATTCAATCTGGTGACGTTGCGGCTGGAATGAGAGGAGCTTGAAAGCGATGCTGAATAGCTGATGAGATTGTCAATGAAGAAGGTTGAAGGTGAAATAGCGTAACGGACATAAGAAAACGCATGAAGCGTGACAGGTTGGCAAAGGAGGACACACTATGCCTTTAAGGAAACCCAAAACAAACTCAGAACTAGCATTAGTGGTTGGTTTATTTTAGTAACCTACATTACAAATGTAATAGAAACGATGTAACAATAGCCATAATATGTACTTGTTTATTACAAAGGACATTGCCGCTTGAAAACATTGCGTTATTAATTCACTACTTCTGCAGCTTTGATAACGATAAATCAAAAGCGACACCCTTCATCCAGTCAAAGGGTTATCGCTGGGATGGTGTTGAATTCGTCGGGTGCTACTAAATACATATCTCAGTTGCGAAATCTTGAAGAAAGTGAATTTATGCTTAAAAACAATAAGCATCGCTTAAAAATGCATAAATCAAAAATTTAACAAACAATTCAAAGTCGCACCAAACTTCAGAGCGCAGCAAAAAAATAAAAATTCGGCGAACTGTAACAAAAGGCGAATAATGGAAATAACGTTTTTGTAAGCAAAATGTGCGAAAAACTCCCCTAACTAGAAAGTGTGGCAATATTATGAGTAAGGCTGAGGGAAATAATAATCATGAACAACTGTTAGTTGGTTGGTAAAATGACAAATGTAATCGCGGTCGTAGCTGCTGACCCCAGTAACGCCAGACTATCCAGATCCTTGGAAAGATGCACGAGCTGTGAAAAGAAAAATAGAATAAACAAACAAGTTATGATTCAGTTCTCATAGAATACTTTGGTGTGCCGGTCTTTATTAGTAACTAAATATGTATGCACGTTAGGGTGGTCCTTAAAATCGAATGAACGATTTGTTTCAGTCTCAGCCAAGGCACATTGAACAGGTATTATTAGAGCACTTGATTTGATTGTTTTTTTTTCAAATTATTTGGTCTCGAAAATGTCAAATATTTTTAATTTATTCTCACAAAAATTGTTAAAATCTATTTTCACGTGAAACCTTTTTCCATACAAAACAAGCGATTGAATAGCAGCTTTTGGAACGTTCGGCTAACTCAGCAGCACAAACGCTGATTACTGGGTCGTGCAAAGGATGGATCAATGCTTCGAGAAGCAAACAAATTTACTAAGAATGAAAGTTGCACCAATTTTAGTTTTTTTCCAAATTCAAATTTTATTTTTGTATTTCACATGGCATGCTTTGATTTAGAAGAGAAAAATCACAAACAACAAAATACGCGCGAATGTTGGTTTTGCTCTAATGCTACTACCTGTTTGATATGCCTTGGTCTCAGCCCTCAATCGGTAATACCACGCTCATAGATATCACGTGGTCTCCATTGGAGACGGTTAAGGCGTGTCACACATGGAGAAAAGTTCAGATTCCTCTATAGAGACTAACAAATTTTAAATTAATTTTTTTCATCTAATACCCAAAATCGATACTACTTTAGTCAATGATGTGAATCTGAACATCGTTCCCACGACAGTCGGGTCTACGTAACCGGAACGACCCAGATTTATATCTGGCCAAGGACTGTTACTCCAGCAACGCTCCTTAAAAACTCTTTGGGGAATCTGTTTGATGTTACAATAACCCGATTTGAGTCGGTTAAGCCGTCTTCATAGGGTTATCTGAACTTTGATCCCTGTGCGGCACGCCTTAACCGACTCCAATAGAGGCCAAAATTTATATGTGATATCTTCGACTATAGTAGTGTCGATTTTGGGGAGTAGATCACAAAAAAATTTATTTAAACTTTGTGAGTCTTCATAGAGGAATCTGAACTTTGCCTCCTGTGCGACACGACTTAACTATCTCCAATCGGGACAAAAATTTATATGTGATATCTTCACCTCTTGCAGCATCGATGTAGGAGCTGATGCTTAGGAAATCAGATGTAAAAAATTTCTTCCTACATTTAAGGCCCACCCTAATGTACACATCTATGTATACATACTAGTATAAAGGAAAGTAGGGATTCTTTGAATGCGCTAATATCGAAAACTACTAAACGAATTTGGACGAGATTTTCTCTGATATATTCTGTATCGACAGGAGCGTGACCTTTGGTATTTAGAATTTCTATAGGGCTGCTACCTGTCTCAAAAATTATAAGATCCGCGCAGTTCGTTGGAGTACAAAAAATTATGTGTCAAATAAGAGGGATTAGCCTCTAGATAAGCATAAATGTTTTTTTTCGAGTAGGGTTAGCACCTGTTAGAATTACTATATTCAATCTTAATAAGCGAAGGTATCAGATCTGCGCCAATCGAAAAGATTTAGCCTCTAGATGTGCAAAAATGTATTATTTTTTAGTAGGGTTGCCACCTGTTTAAAAATTATAAGATCTTCACTGTTGGTTGGATAACATAATGAGATATTAAATGAATGGAAATAGTCTTGGTACGTTCAACAACTTTTTTTGAGTGGGGTTGCCACCCTAACATAGCATAAAGCAAAAACGAAATTTTTTTACTACGCCAATCTCCATTGTTCGGCCGCTGTGGTGTCATGGTTGGCAGTGTACGCTACCAGTGCCTGGGTTCAAGCCCGGTTCAACCCAACACTAGCATATGGATAAGTAAGCACAAATCTATTATTATTATTAATC